CCCCATATCCCTACTGTTTCCAGAAACACACTTTGGGGGCTTATACAAAAAAGGTGTTATTTTGTGCAAAACCCATGATACCTATACACAAAAATGTGTGTTTCTGGAAACAGTAAATTAAAAACAACAACAACAACAATCCTGCCCCCCTTTGCTCAAATAACACAGCCTGCTAGAGAGTTTGGCAGATATAAGTCCTGTTATATGTGTGGGTCGAACATTTGCATCATCGTGCAATAGTCGTATGCAGGTCAAGGTTGCAGAAGTGAAGTTCCAGATGTGGTGCCATTGTGCCTGGTTGTGCATTGCACAGCCATGCACACCACCTCACATTCTGCAATGCTCAATTATGCACAATTAACAATGTAGTTTACAATTATGCCCTCAGATTAGCACAAATATCTGTGTATGTTGTTATATTGTACCAACACTATGCAACAACCATGCAAAATAGCAACATTGTGCAACACATGTCAAAGAGTAGGTGCTGTTGTGCTTTTGCAGCTGTCAACAGAATATGTCTGTTGTTGTTGTTGTTATTGTGTGTCTTCAAGTTGTTTCCAACTTATGGCAATCCTAAGGGGCTGTAAGCCCCTATCATGGGGCTTTCTTTGCAAGGTTTGTTCTGAGGAGGTTTGCCATAGCCTTCCTTGAGGCTGAGAGCATGTGATGGTGAGCCAGTGGGTTTCATGGCTGAGCTGGGAATTGAACCCTAGTCTCCAGACTTATAGTCCAATGCTCAAGCCACTATGCCACACCACTCTGGCTCGCTGTGTAAAATAATTCATCCTGCATGTGTACCTCAATTTATGCATGCATATTTCACAAAACCCCAGCCTTAGTTGCAGATCACTGCAATTATCTGATGAGGTGGCATAATGCAACTGGGACATTGCTATGAGTGTAAATTACATTACATCTCCACAATGAAGGTTCTTGACAATTGCTTTTAGAAACACGTAACGGCCAAAAGCCTGCATCTATGCATAGCTCTACATGAGCAATTCTGTGTTCTTCCACAGCTGTCAAGGCACTGCTGGGTGAGAAGGGAGAAGTGATTCTGGATATAGAAAAGCAGCTGGTCTCAGCTTGGTGGTGGAGGAAGAAAGGAAAAAGCACTCTCAGATGGAGTACACCTGCATTTTCTTTCCTAGGGAACTTGGATCAGCTGATCTTCATGGTCTGAATGGCCTCCTTGCTTCCTCCCCTTCACCTGGGTTAAAAGCAGCAGCACAAGCCTTTCCCAGGGCCTGACAGCTGCTGAGCAGGGGAGGTTTTTGAATGGAGCACAAGACCAAAAAGGGACTTAGAATCATAGAGTTGGAAGAGACCCCAAGGGCCATCCAGTCCAACCCCATTCTGCCATGCAGGAACTTACAGTCAAAACACCCAGACAGATGGCCATGCAGCCTCTGTTTAAAGACCTCCAAAGAAGGAGACTCCACCACTCTCCGAGAGAGTATTTTCTACTGTCCAACAACTCTCACTGTCTAGAAGTTCCTCCTAATGTTGAAGTGGAATCTCTTTTCTATAGCTTCCATCCACTGCTCCATGTCCTATTCTCTGGAGCAGCAGAAAACAAGCTTTCTCCATCCTCAGTGTGGCACCTCTTTGAATAGATAGACAGAGCTATCATATCACCTCTTAACTTTCTCCTCTCCAGGCTAAACATACCCAGCTCCTTAAGTCTCACCTCATAAAGCATGTAAGCTTATTGCACTGTGTTCTCGTAACGTAATGAGTATGTGATGAGAACGGAACGGAACGTATTTTATCGCACGGTATGATCCTCATCGAGTTCCCATTCTGTGCTCTGACAGTCCCTAGCCCGTTCCAGCAGAAGAACTGTAAAAATGCGTCCTCAGCCAGCAAGAACGCTTTCAGACCGTTCAATATGATGCGTGTGCAATAATCCTACCTGTCTCAATCTGTCCTCGTGTTCTGAATGGCTAAGACAACCTCCTCCCCTCCCATCCTAGAACATCCACAAACTCAACTCAACTCTTCCAGTGTTGATGCAAGGAAGGTGCCACAGGCAATTTAATTTTTTTTTTATTTTTGTAGATTGAATTGCGTCATGTTTACAAGAAAAAACAATGAATGCTCGCTACCTAAACCTCTCGGTAGCATTCTTTCCAATGCAGGCATAGGGGTTTTCGCAACAGTGAGCATGCCCCAATGAGGGACGGCTGAGGAATGCTTTAGCGCAGGTACCGGTACAACAGTAAATGCAGTGCGATAATATGTATTCTCATGACGTTACTATTGCGTTATCCATAGTCTAATGCGGTAACACCCGTTCCCATATCGTTACATTCCAGGGACTCGATGGGAACGTTACAGGTATTGGTGCGATAAGATTAATGGTTTCCAGACCCTTCACCATTTTGGTTGCCCTCCTATTTGAATTGTGATGCCCACAACTGGACACAGTATTCATGTGAGGCCTGACCAAAGCAGAAGAGAGTAGTGCTATTACTTCCCTTGACCAGACCAATGATTCCCAAGCTCTGGTCTTCTAATTATTTTGGGCTTAAGCTCCCAGAAGCCTGTGCAATCTAAGCCAATGGTCTGGGATTCTGGGAGCTGATGTACAGAACACCTGGGAGGCCAGAGTTTGGGAATCACTGATCTACACACTATATTTCTATTGATACAGCCTAGAATCACATTGACCTTGTTAGCTGTCACATCACACTGTTGATTTAGGTTCAACTTACAGTCTACTAGAACTCCAAAAGGGTGCCGTCGTAATTATTTGGTGCAAAAAATGCTTCCCTCCCCCACGCACCCTATCATTTTTGCATAAAAATGTGCATTTCTGCAAGGAATAATTTCCTGGAATACATTGGGATGTCTGAATACTAGGTGAAAATGGTGCAGAAGTCTTGCCTCTGTGTTATTCTTTCTAACCAGTATTCCCTCGTGCTAGAATTCAAAGACGTAGCCTTGTTAGTCTGGAAAATCAGCATGCAAAGGGAACTTGTAGCACCTTTGAGATTAACTGAATGAAAGAAATTGCTAGCATGAGCTTTCATAGACTTGAGCCTACTTTGGAGGAAATAGAGTCAAGTCTACAAAAGCTCATGCTACCAATTTCTTTCCTTAGTTTCAAAGGTGCTACAGTACATTCCCAAGGTTTCGGAAACCCATTTTTTAACCAAAAACAACTGGTGGTGAATAATCTTTCCATACCTAGTAGAGAGCTAACAGATGTTCATGGAAGGGCTATCTCTCTCTGCTACTTTTACCTGCAATTCTTTTCTGCTCCTTCTCCTTTTTGTTTTATCCTATTCTCTATTTTTTAAATTAATTTTTTTAAAAAAATGTAACATCACATAATATGTACAGACAACCTTAAACACCAACATAATAGTCTCAGCCTGGTGGATTGACCTTGCTAAATCAATCAACATTTTTCATGATTAATTATTCCAAAACACACTGCAGAAATAATCCAGTTTGACACCACTTTAACTGCCCCAGCTTAGTGCTAGGGAATCCTGAGAATTGTAGTTTATCGTGCCACCAGAACTCTCTGACAAAACTGTCTCACAAAACAACAGTTGCTAGAATTCTATTATATAATAATAGAATTATTATTATTATGATCCCATTCTGCCATGCAGGAATTCAAAATCAAAGCAAATTCAAAAGGTGAAGTTTCTTGCTAACAGGTGGGGGTGCTTTGGGGAGTCTTTGCCAGCTGCAGAGCTGTTAAAAGGACATAATGGACAGAACCAAGCTGATAGCTGTAGGAAAGAGCCATGGTTTTGTCGTGGAGTTGTCCCACATGATGGCAGGCGGAAGAGTCTGCGGAGGTTGTGTTTGATGCATGGAGAGATGAAGCTGACCTGTGAGTTTGGAGGAGCTTTTGCACCTGGCTGGAATTGATGTGTTGCTACCCAAATTTGCTCCAGTTGCCATAGGAACTCTCCTGGTCCCCAGCTGGAGGAAAGGGTATATAAAGTTTGCTTCCTATCAATCTCACCTCAAGGTTAAATAAGATATATCTATATATCTCTATCGGTAGGCAGAGATAAATTTATATATACACATTTAATTTATCAATTGATTTATACAGATACGTGTCGGAATCCTATATGACCTGCCAAGTTACGTTACTTTGTGTATTCCTAGCTATGTAGCAGAGGCGGTAAGAAATCCCTTTATTGAATTGTGAAGGTGCATAATGGGATGCTGGCAAGAGAGCCCAAAGTGTGCTGGTGCATGTGTATCTGTGCACAACATGCACCACTGTGCAATGCATACCGATGCATGATCTTCTACACCAGGGGTTGGCAACCTACGGCCCCCGGGCCGGTTCCGGCCCAGAACGC